ATTTTTTCAAAGCTGTATGGCTGGAGGCTCTTGCACAGAAGCTCATGGTCTAGCTGATTACTGTATGTGGGTGCAGAAAGATATTTTTACTTGGGACAGAATGTAAGAGACTCTGAGGGTTTTTTCATTGTCCTCTTTAGTGCAGGGACAGGGCCACTTGCTAGTTTAAACTAGAGTAAAAGGCAGATTGTGCATAACTTGGTAACTTCAGTAACTCAGACAAAGTTTATGGTTCTAATTCAGGAGGAGTGTGTGAATTCTATGACTTGCAATATGCACAAGGTCAGACTAGATGTTCCCAATGTCCCTTCTGATCTTAAAGTCTGAATCACTCTTTCTATTCCACCAGTATCTCAATTGCTAAATAGAAGCTAAACAAGTTTTGACATTTTCAATTTAGCAAGTCCAAATAACTTTTAGCAAGAGTTTTAGAAGAGCTGGCAGATAATCTTGCTGGACCATTAATATTGATTTTCAAAATCTTGGCACCTGTGGAAGTACCAGAAAAACTAATACTGTGTAAATTTCTAAGATGATAAATTAGACGATCTGGTTAATTATAGGCCTCTTAGACTGGCATCTATACAAGAAAAAACAAACAATGGAGCAACTGATACAGGACTAGGTTAAGAATTAAATGAGGGTAACACAATTAACAAAAATCAACATGAGTTTATGGAAAATAGACCCTCTCAAAACTAATTTGATCTCTTTTGGTGAGTTTACAAATTTAGTTGATAAAGGGAAGAGTACAGACATAATGAATTTCTGTAAGACATTTGACTAGATAATCAAAATGTTGTACAGTAAGGCCTGTTTCAGAGTGGCATTTCATTCTAGCTTTTTAATCAAATATTTCAATTTAAGCCTCAACATATGTTCTGACATCTTAAACTAGAGGATACTTAAAATGAAACCTCTGAAATGTTATGGTTCTGAGGCATATTAGATGCTGTGGTATCTAATGTAAAGAGTCTAGTTCAATTCAATAAAGGTACAAAATAAATCACACCACTATCAAGTGTCACCCTGCTGATGTGGAAAAAAATTAAATATTGCAATAAGTTATTAAATTGTTAATGGCCACATTCTATTCTTGGGTTTGTGGTTTGGTGCATCCTGGGCACAATGTCAAACTGCATCAACAGTGACAGCCTCTGACAAGCTCAGGGGGTAAAAAGAAGGTTGAATGAATAAACTGTTCTGTAAATAGAGAGACACTGAAACCATTTAACGAGAACAGGGACAGGATTTCATTTAGAAAATTAACACCGATTTCGGAGATAGCAAAAAGCTGCAATTTTCTAAATCTCATCCTTGCTAGTCAGGAAAAGGTTATGTTCCTTGCTAATGAGAAACACGGAGTGCCCCCTCGCTGGAGGAAAGCTCAGGATATCAACTGCTTAAAAAGAGGGGGAGGGCAACATCAATATAGTTCTACACAGGGGTATTCCTTCATTTTTAATTCGGAAAATAAATTATATAAATTGCTGAGGTGGGAAACAAAAGAAAAAATAATGCTACACAGTGATCTTAACTTAGAAATAACCTTTGGTATGAGATTTGGGAAAAACAAACATTTTTAATTTTTTTTAACCTTTAAAAGAAAATCTATCATGAAACCTATTTGTTGAAGGCTTTAGTTGGAAAAAGAAAAGTTTTTTTTTAATTGAAAGAGACAACAAATGTTTCACTTCAACTACTTTCAAGCCTTTTTTTTTTTTTTACTTTTCAATTCAAAACAGTGTTTCAAATTGGCGTTTGATAAATTAAAAAAAAAACAGAGTGAAAAACCCTGAAATGGCTAATTCAAAGGAAAACTTGTTGGGAAAAGTCCTTGAGTTGACTGAAAAGAAGTCAAAAACTTGAAAAAAAGTTCTGAGTTGATGCAAAGTGACTTTGTGTGTGTGTTTGGGGGGGGGGTGGGGATGTTAGTTTTCATTTCAACAAAAAAATGTAAAAAAAGATTGTGGTTCAGATCCAATAATTTAAGCTGTTGTTGTGGGGTTTTTTGGGAGGGGGGCAAACTGACAACAACAACAGAAAAATCCAGTATTATGGGGTTGTTGTTTGGTGTGGGTTTTTTTTTTTCCACCTAACCCTATAGGACAGGGGTGGGCAATATTTTTTTTACAGTAGGGAGACTGGAGTCTGGGAGGGAGTTTGGGTGAAGGAGGCAGTTGTGACCTAGGGCAGGAGACTGGAGAGAAGGGATTTGGGATGTGACCTAGAGTAGGAGGGTATTGTCATCTGCTGTAGGAGACTAGGGTGCCAGATCTGGAAGGGGTATGGGTGTAAGATGGGGACAGAGGATTTGTGTATGTTGAGTCAGGGGGGCATAGGGTGGGGTGCCAGAATCAGGCTGTGGCCAGGAGACTTACCAGCCAGCATCCAAACTTGCCTGCCTACCTATAAAACTAAGGCTTGCAGAGCTTAAAACATTTCCCAGCCAGCCAGCCTGCCTGGATATATGCCTCACTGAATAACTGAAAGGAGGGGGAGCGTGATTCTTCTTGGCTGCCTGTTTCTCAAACTAGCAGCTTCCATTGGCTGGTTTCTGGCCAGAAACTGGCCAATGGGATTGTGCTGGGGGTGAGATGACTCCTGAAACTTCCTCTCCCTTCCAGTTTTAACACACAAATGGAGCCCTGCAGCAGCGTTTCTGCATGGGCTGCTGGGCAAGCAGGGGAGCGCCTGCCTGGGGCTCCCTGCTGCCTCCATAGGCCAGATCCAGTCCACATGCCGTATTTTGACCAGGCCTGCTATAGGATATATTTCATGTGTATCATCCTTTTTTTCCCCTATTCCTGCCTCCCAAAAATAGTCACTATTAAAACAATATATTAATTTCCCAATAGTTACCATGGTTATTTCCTAGTCTTTGTATAAGGAAAGGCTGTATGCTCTCATCTCACTAGGTGTTGTTAAATGCTGGGGTGAAGTTAATTGCAGCCAGTGCACAGACTTCATTCTGCAGTTGTTTATCAGGCACAACTTTCTGTAACTATAGCTTCCAATATTTAAATCAATAAATGTTGCCAAGGACTAGGCCTATATACTGGGCACCATGACGAACAGGTCCTATCTTTTTATAAATATAGACAGATAAGATGTGTTTTTTTGAAAGTGCTGCTTGTTTAACAGAAAGTTCCTTTTTTTCCATAAACAGTTAATATATTCCCATTGTTCGAAGGATTCTTCCTGTTATTCAACATCAATTTACAGCCTCCTAAAATATTCTTTTGTCCATACTGCAGACAAGGACTACAGTCAAATTAAAGAAAAAAAAATGCTGCCAAGGAGACAGAGAAATTAGATGGATCCAAGCAAAACAATGGCGTTCAAAAGTTAGAATTATTTTTGTCATTCTAATTCATAAAAAAATAAAAAACTCTAAAATTGGACAGAATTATGGTAGTCACCTAGTCATGCGAAACGTACACAAACGACTGACTACATGGTACTTCCATTTTTGTACCAACACAATGTAGAAAGAAAGGCTCAGTCAGGTACACATTCTGGTCCAGTGAGTTCTTAGATGCATTTCACTGGTTTAGTAAATGCTCTTCTTTGGAAACAGACATTATTTATAAACCACTAAGTGTATACAATTCTTTACAGCAAGCATTCCCACAAATACACAATAGCTACAAAGCCATACACTTATGCAGTCCTTTAAAAAGCCCAGCCACAATATCTGACAATTGTTAATTATGGTGGTGCATTCCATACAGTAGTAATATGTGGGAAATGTGCACAGGCCTCGGCTCAGACATAAGGGACATGGAAGTCTGACAACATAAGCAGGCATGACCAATATTCAAGGGTATCAAAACGAATGCATTCAGAGAGGTGATATACCTGCTCTGAGGACAGATATACAGCCAATGGTGCAGTGACTCAGCCAACAGTCTCATTTAAACAAATATTCCCTCCCCATCTTAAGAAAAATTCAGAGATCCTGGCCCCCACTTACTTCTCCAGATTTTGTCTATTAAGTTAACTGCCATTCAGGGATTTCCTAGTGTCTTTAAAATAAAACAAAAACAAACAATCACAAAAGATTATTATTTTAGGGGAGGCTGTCCTTCAAGGCTGCATCCACATGACAGTCATGTGGCACTTATCAAATTAAACACCCACTCAGATGTATATGTTCCAGAGCAGTTAACTGGGGTGCTGGCTCCACTTCATGCTGATCAGCTTTCCATACTCGGATGAAAGAAAGCTAGTGAGAAACCGCGCTAATCACCCAGTGAGCATGCTATCTGCCACCTACATCTCCATTTCACAGTGCCTGAATCTTGCATATGGCATCAGAGAAAATTCTCTGGTCTGTACTTTGTATTTCCAATCTCCAGTCTGAATAAGCAAAAAATCATTTCATCCTAAAATGGACACTGATAAACAGCCAAGAGAAAGAAAGAGAGAGAGTGTATGTAGGGGGCTCATTAGAATGAAAGATCTGAGGTAAATGACAAGAGTGAGCATGTGCAGTAACAGGTTATATAGAACAGTGTTTCTCAGCCTTTTTTTTTTAAATAAAGTACCCCCAGTACCTACAGTTTTCAGACACACAACATTTTTTTCTCTCATTACAATAAATTTGTTTAACCAACTTAATTGTAGCCGAGCAGGCGATGAAATTTTGGGGTGTAAAGTACAACAATAATAAATGCTGTAAAACTTAAAACAAAAATTCAGTTTTCTCCAAATGTCAGCTGTATTCATGTTCCCCCCAGACTTTTCTCAAGCACCCCTAAGGGTACTTGTACCACAGGTTGAGAAACACGGATATAGAGGTCATCCACGAAGCATCCGTTAAGCAGTTAGTCAGCCAGAATGTACTCCTACTGGTCACAACTTGTTTTAAAGGACAGAGTTGTCAATCAGAATTCCGAGGTAAGGATCAAAACTGAGCATGTGTGAGTGAGGTAACTGTTGCTACAAATAGAAAGGTATATAAAGAGCTATAATGTAGTTAAAAGACAAATGGACCTCCAGCAACAGTTTTGGTGTTCAGAGGCTGTGTCTGAGGTGAGGGAAGAGCTGGGGAGCAAGCAACAGAAGGTAAAGAAAAAGTGCTGCAAAGAGAGAAAAGAAAGCTGGAAAGGGAAGGACTGACTGACCAAGTAGTAGCAGTAATTTGATTTTTAAAGAGAAAGCAGCAACATATTTATACAACAAGCTTAATATCTTTAATGATAGTTTAAGATAGTATATAGTGTTTAATTATATTTTACTTGTGTGAACTTTAAAGGAATTTAAGATCTACTGTCAGCAATTTCCTGCAAAGTGGCCACTAGCAACAAATTGCTTCACAGAGAATCATACACTTTTGTAGAAGGAGTCCTTTTTAAGGCTCAATAGCAAAGAGATGTTTGTCTCAAGGATTTTGTGCCTTAGAGTTTTTAGAACTGTGCCTCTTGCTCTACTCATCTGAAGAAGTAGGGTTTTTGTTAGTGTCTAAGGGCTTGTCTACACAGCAGGGCAAAAGTCAAATTAAGATACACAACTTCATCTACGTCAGTTGCTTAGCTGAATTTGAAATAGCTTAATTCAACTTTTGTCACTGTCTACACAGCAGGAAGTCGAAGGAAGAACACTTTTTCTTAGTCTTCTCTTACTCCTTGTGAAATGAAGGTTACAGGAGTCCAGAGTAAGAAGTCCTCCATCTTGATGTTATTTTCAAATAATGATTTGTTGTAGTAGAGATGTGCACTTTGTTATTTTAAAATAATGCTGCGGCGTAGACATACCCTGAGGTGCTTCAGGACTGCTCTTTTATCCCCCCCCCCTTTTTTTTTAAATTTACAGACTAATGCACCTACCCCTCTGAGATCATATTGTAGTAGTAAGGATTATTAGTGATAGAAATGTAGCCGTGTTAGTCTGATGTAGTTGAAACAAAATGCAGGACTATGTAGCACTTTAAAGACTAACAAGATGACCATCTTGTTAGTCTTTAAAGTGCTACATAGTCCTGTATTTTGCTTAAGGATTATTAGTAACTTGAATAAAAAGTACTTTGTTTTGGAAAGAACACTGTCAATATCAATTGCTTTATTGGAATATTACATTCACGTCCTTTGGTGTTTCCTTCTCAACCCTGAGAACTTTTATCTTGGGAAGAACAGACTAAGGAGGCAATAGGCAGGGTATTGTAGACATGCTCCAAAATCTGTGTGTCCGGATAAGAATGACAGCCACCAGAGACTGCAGTCACAAGTCCCACCTACAGAGGGAATCACTTTGACTTTCAGTTAAGCTCTGTGCAACCACCTCGGGGAAGTAAATCCTCCCTCATGATAGGTGCAGATCTTTGTGTTTATGAGGAAGACTTGGTTCTCATCAGGAAAAAGAAAATAGTTTGGCCCAGAGCAAAATAGTATTTTTTATTCCTGCTAAAACTAATGACAAGTGGATTTAGAATCTGTCCAATTGTTTTCTCATTATGAAGCTGAGTAAAAAAATAGAGGGCATACTGGAGTGTTTGTATTTACAACTGCATTGCTCATATAACACTAGCTGAGGCTGTTATGGTCAACATTTGAATGCCTTTATGTGCTAACTTCTTGAAGGTATATTGAACTTGAAGCCTTAATATAGACCATTTGTTAGCCTTATGTTCTGTCAGTCACTTTGCTGCATGCAGAGATAGACATTCGATAGAATTTTGTAACCTAGCAGGTTTGTCACAGCTTATTTATTTAGGAATTAATCCCGCAAGGTCCTGGTCATTTCCTGTAAGGTGCTGTGCAATCTTAACTCACTTTGATTGTGAGACCTCCCGCCTCCCCCCCTCAGTGCAGTCTGCAGGTCAGGTCTCAGATATGCAGCTGTGCTTTGAACTTTTGAAGGTTTTTGCACAGTCATATTTATGGCAGTTGTAAAATGCTGAGAGTCAGCTGAAGCCTGGGTCAGCATACTCTCCAAATGACCAGTCTCTCAACAGCACCCAAGACATTTGAGGACTGGAGATTTTCACTTCGTCACAAGTGTGGAGTTTATTTTTGGAGGGTTGATTTGACAGATAATTTAGGCATGTCATTTGTTTCTTGACATTCTAGAAGCAAAAAATATCCTTTTACTGGAAGCTCAAACAGTCTTTATGTTCAATTTGGCTACAAAATTTCTGGCAGAAGGAATACCAGTATTTGTTTGCACTCAATCCCTGTACTCATGATAAAAACTTCTCAACCCCATTGGCATCCATTCAGAAATGCCACCAAGCATATACAACTGAAAAAGAAATTAAAAAAGCCAATTATCCTTGAATTTAAACCTAAGGAAAATTGATGGAAGTGGAACTTTAAGCACGAGGTACAGTTTTAGTGTTTCTAATTATAGAGATATATTTCCATGATTTTGATATCTGTATCTGTCTATCTATAAAATTAAACTTATTTCTTTCTACCCAATCAGTGGTCTTGTCAATATGGGAACATTAAGATTAAAAGTCAGTGGAGAGAAGCATGCCTTGCAAGTATGAAATCAAGAGACATGTTCACGTGTTTTCAAGAAAATCTAGAACATATCACTTAATTACAGGCAGTGGTTTCCAGTTTCATTTTGATAGTGTGAGAGGGGAAAAAAAAAAAAAACTTTAGCATATTGTTAGCAAAAGCCAAATCCTAATATCAGTGCACAGTCTCAGTAGGCAGGCTGTGCATTGACAAACTACATGAAGACAGACCTAGAAGGACTCCTCTCTTTCTCTTAGCCCTGCTGTAGGGGTACATGCCTGCATGTGTTGGTACTGCACTTCCAGTCCTGAAGTAGCCCACACCATGGTACGTCAACATTTGAGTATCTGACAAGTGGAAGCAGATGTTAGAAATGTACAGTTTGTTTCTCATTGGAGGAGAAATCAGCAACTGGGCATTTTCTTTAGGGAAACTTGTTCATTTAAATACACCAGGTCTAGAACAGAAGTGGTCACTAAAAGAATGCAGACTATCCTCTCTTTTAACACAAACACTGATAGCAACTCTGCCTCTCTTTTTTAGTCTTTGTAACTGTATTTGGAAAATAAAAACACAACAACAACTACTCTGGTAGCACCTTAAAGACTAAGAAAACATGTAGATAGTATCATGAGCCTTCGTGGCCACAACCCACTTCTTCAGATGACAGATGAAATGATTGGAAAGTGAGTAAACTCCCTTGCTGTTTGTCACAGCTCTCTCAAAGAGACCCTACCAGAAAAACAAACAAACAACCTGACAAACTCTCCGATTCACAAGTATTTAAATTACCTTTAAAAAACTTAGGGGTGCCCCAGGCAAACCAGGAATAGTTTTCATAGATAACAAATATGGATCTTCACATTCCCGCAGTCCCTTGTGTGAATCAACAACTTATTTTGCATAAAGGGAAAAAAGGAGAAGTTAGTGGGTTTCCTGGAAGTGTCATCTAACCCTGAACTGCAATATAAAAAAGGAAAGCTTTACATTAGCCCATCTTGGATTCTGAGGCTGAATACCCAAAACATGCTTCATCTCTTGTCGGATCTCATGAGACTCTTTCACTGCAATATTGTCCCCACACCAGGTTTAAGGTTCAGCTACACAGTCTGCTCATCAGAGATTGTAGCTCTAGTGGTAACTGAGCAGAAACAAATACTCTAAAAGGTATGACTTCATTTGTGGTGCCATGTAGAGGACAGACACTAGTACGGGTTTAAACAGCACTGCTGATGGTGATCCTTACATGAGATCCCTGTATGCATAAAATATGTGAGGTAAATGCCATAGCTCCATAAATGCCAATGCAGGAACTGAGTCTGATCCATTCTGTATTTAATCACTAAAGCAAGGTCATCATGTGGTATCTAGGATTCTTTAGAAAATCCACATCCCTAAGTGCCTGTCCTCTCCTGCTCTTTCACTTGGATTTGGCATCACTAGCCAGCTAGTGAAGTTACATTTTGGGTGACCCTGTCAGGTATGGTGTGTTAATTACAGGTCCGCTGCCCTTTTGTCACACAATAAGAAGGCTAACAACATTTCATTAACTAAACTAAACTCTAGTTAAAGTATAAAGTGAATTTTAATCCAAAATTGATCACTTTGGCAAAGTAGGCCCATCTGCTGATCACCTAGGTAAAAAAGGTGTGCCTATAAAAATACACTCCACTCTGGAGGTCTTTTCCCACAGGTCATGAATAAGCAGCAGGAGTCAACTGAATCATATTCTGAGTTACCTATGAAAGGTAGTCGGTAGCTGGGTTTTGATGCAGTCAAAATGCTGTTTGGAAGCTACTCCACAAAGTACTCTGCATTCTAACTAAATGTTATTTGGCTCCCACCCTAGGATCCACTCTTGTGAAATATGTTGAATTTTGTGCTGGTGCATGGGAAACCTGTCCCTTGGTTGCATACAAAAATGTTCCCTTAACTGTTCCTATACCAAGTAAAGCATGGTTAAAGCAGATAATTTGTATAAGAGTCAAAACCTATTTAAACAATTTACTCATCTCTGCAGGTAGGGGCAAAACGATACTGATGTGCAAGTTTTCCATGCACAACAACAATTAACAAATATATCAGATGTACAGGTACAGTAATATCTCACTCACTGTGATGAAATTTCAGCCCCAATTCTTGGATATACAACATTAGTCATGATGGCAACTTTTTTTGCTAAACAGCTAAGTAAAAGAAATAGTCAGAGGCAAAAAGGCATCATTTAAACAGTAGAAGTTAAATCCTAGTAAGGATAATGGAAAGGAACATTAACTCCAGGAACTGAAGTGCAAAAATATAATCAGGAAGTCCAAAAACAATTTGAGGAACAGCTAGCCAAAAAGTAACAACATGTTTTTTTGTTAAGGATATCAGAAGTGGAAGTCTGATGATCAACCAGTGGGGCCACTGGATGATCAAGATGCTAAAGGAGCACTCCTGGACAATAAGCCTTGTAGAGAAACTAAATGAATTGTTTTTCATTGCTGAGGATGTCAGAGAGAGATTCCCAAAACTGAGCTATTCTTTTTAGGTGACAAATCTGAGGAAGTGTCCTAGATTGAGGTGCCAGTAAAAGGGATTTTGGAACAAACTGATAAACTA